GCCTTTCCTGGAGCTCACTTGGTAGCCCAGGCTGGCCTCAAACTCACAGAGATCCGCCTGGCTCTGCCTCCCGAGTGCTGGGATTAAAGGTGTGCGCCACCAACGCCCGGCTCAAGAAGATTTCTTAAGTGTAAAATAAATAAGTTACATACCTCCAATATACATAGAGAAAACCTTCCCATTCCAAAGGGTAGAATGGAGACATAACAAGCCAAGAATGGTTACAGCAAGACCCAAACCCAACAAGGCAAACACAGGGCCTTGCAACTCCATGTCCAGCATCCAAGTCTTGCAGTGGTATTACCTGGATTCCAATGAGCATGGCTATCCCTGCCTCTCCAGGAGCACACATAACCTCTCTCTCAGGCCAGATCCAGTCCATGCCTGTGGTGCTCACCTAACATGGTTCTGATGTCGCTATTGTGACTTAGGCATCGCTTTCCAACTCTGCCACACATTGTCTGGCCTCAGCAGCTTTCTGGAACTTTGATGCAAGCCTCCCAGACGTCAATAACTCTTGGCATTTTGCAAACCTCCAAACCTGGCACCAGTTGACAACACTTCCAAGTTCTGTGCCAGCTCAAAATGCAGTCTGGTCCATTCTACCGCAGTACATGGGCTCTGTGTGCCTTAAAGCTGAACCTAGGACAACACTGCCCCCCATGGTTGTTTGGGGGCAGGAAACCCCTCCAGCTGGGCAGTCCAAGCTCAGTCTCTCTCCTTTCAAATGATTTTGCATATTTACAAGTTGGCCTCTGATGAGTGGGAGCCTGCTGACAGAGCCCACAGTCCCAGGGCAGAGTGGCAGGCTTCTCCTTACTTGTACCGGGTTCTTTGGTTCAGGACAGCTGCTTTCTCTGCACCCCTCCCCCACAGCCTGCTCCACAGATTCCCGCTGCACCTGCAGCTCTCTTACTGTGAACCTGGGTGAGAGCAGGGAGCAGTAACCATGCCACAGCCTAAACACTATGCTCTCAAAATCTCCTCTGCCAACTCAGTTAGTCCATCATTCTTGAATTCAGCCTCATTCGGATTGCCAGGATGTGGGTAGGAAGCGTGTGTGTGTGTGTGTGTGTGTGTGTGTGTGTGTGTGTGTGTGTGTGTGTGTGTGTTTGCCAGAACACAACACAAATGGCCTCTTTCCGACCCTTTTTGATCTGCTCTGAATCCTTGTGGGGCACAGTCTCCCTGTCTGCACTGCTGTTCACATTCTGGTCTTCCAAACACTCACTAGAGTGGCCCCCTGAGCTCTCCTTACAGCTGTAGAGCATTTCAGGCTGATAGTTCCAAACTTCTCCACTCACAGGGACGGTTCCCAAACTCACGGTTATTACAGCAGCGCCCCACTCCTCAGCACCCATGTTCTGTGTTTGTCACTCCTTTTAGTGCTGTGATCAAACACCTGGAAAGAAGCGCTTAGGGGAGGAAAGGCCTATTTTGGTCCTGACTTGAGGGGATACAGTCTGTCATGGTGGAGTCTCATCAAGGCCTGGGAGCAGAGGCGTGGGGCAGCTGGCCACATGGCATCCACTGACAGGAAGCAGAGAGAGAGATGAACGCTAGTGTTCGGCTGACTCTTATTTCTGCTTCCTATTCAGTATGGGGGTTCCAGTCCATGGATGGCACCCGCATGAAGGGTGAATCTTTTTCCTTCCATTAAACCTCCCTGGGAGTTTCTCCACACACAAACCCAGAAGAGGTGTGTCTCTTATTCCAAATTCAGTCAAGCTGGTGATGAAGATTGAATCTAGTTTCCAACCCTATCATAGACACCTGTGATGATGTCCTGAGTATGGTATTTCACTGTGAAGATTTGAGCCATTTTT